CGCTGAGCCGCTGGTGGGCGGAGAAAGAAGATAAAGTATGTGAGTACTATTATACTGCAAGCCCTTTAACATACTATTATACTGCAAGCCTTTTTCATAATGCTACAGCAGAAGATAAACCTCGAAGCTAAAACCTGGAGCAGGTAGACATGCGAACTACAGACGAAGTGACCTGATGAACACAAATAGTTGATTGGTTAATAGATTATCTTAGCCTTCTCATTCGCACATCCTAGTCACTAGTATCTTCCCCCGTATGACGACTACGTTTAACTCATCACTATTACTATTATCTACTCTATCCACTCGAATTCGTCAACTGCCTACCTGGTTAAGGATTGCGAATTATCGCAGCTCATGTAATTTCTTTTAACTAATCTGTCAAGCAGTAAAAGCCCGAACTAGTGACAAGTAACTAGAGATATTTGTTGTACCAAATAATGGCAAATGAACAGAAAATGTTAACATCAGTGTACAATGAAATAATCCATCAAGTATTCAATGAAGGTATTCAGATGTTCTTCCTTAGGTAAGGAATAAAGCGAAGAATAAGGGTTATAGAGTCTCGTATTCTTTGGGAAAATCAAATGTAGGAGAAATCTTAAGACTAAAAGCGAATTATCGCTATGTCTTGTAAGTACCACAGAGAAAGGAAAAATGTGTAAAGGACTCTTTTATTTATTTCAATTAAAACGTTAACAGATGGTACCACTCGTGCTTACAGAGGCCAACAGTTATGGCTCAAATCAAATATAATAGATTAACTAAAACTAAGAAAAGTAGCCTAATGGCTGCACAATTGGAACAACGCACGAGCTGGCTCTGACCTGAGGTCGGCGTAACAAGCTTAATGGCGAGAAGAACACAACGCTGCAGAACTACTCTTAAGGAAAATTAAATTAGCAGCGTGGCCTTTAGAAGGGAGAACATGCTCTGATTCTACCTTCTAAAACCTTCGTTTAAGTACTCTTTTCTTTCTACCTAATTTGAATATTGCGTTAGCTAGAAATTTACATTCTGCCAGCAAAATTTACATCAGGAAGATAGGAGGGATGATTAGCATAAAATAAATGGTTAAAGAACTTAAATGAGACCTTATGGCCTAAAAAATTTTCATTTAAGTCACTAACTATAAAAATGTCATTACGATAAGGAATTACACAAACATTAAGCATTGCATTAAAAGATTTTACATTAATTAATCTAGTTATCTTATTATTCTGGTTTTACTACAGAGTCATTTGTTAAATTCCACCATAATGCAAATTTTGAAGCGTAGAGTTCTTGAGTTTTCGAGAGAGCTTTTGACAGCCTTGCTGACTTTACTTTGTTGCTTCCACTGATATATCAGCTTTAGCTTCTGCAATCCGTATTCATTTCGGGAGTTAGTCCGGAGGCTTGGTTCTACTTTAATTTTCAGCTTTATATCCCTGTCAGGTTGATGTGTTAAAAAATATATTTATTTTAAACCATCATTTAAGTTTGTGATTAGTGTAATTGAAAGGGGAGATAAGATGATAAGATATCTGATTAACTTTACATTTTTGTAGTTTGTTACTTTAAAATAGACACAGCAAGAATTTTTCCTCTCTCTGTCATTACGAATGTAACACGTGTTGTGATCATTGCACAGGACTCATTTTACCTACATTATTTGAAGACTATAGCTCAAGTCAGCCTTCATTAGTGTGTTTTCGTGAATAGAAGTACACTGAATAAAAATCAAGTAAAAAAAATATTGTGAGCTTTTGTTACTATGGTTACAAGGCAAGATGGAACAGGATAATTACCTTGAAGTGCCCGTTTTAAAACGTATCTGAGGCCGGGATCTGTACATTCCAGACACCCTGGTAATAGTGCGAGGAAAAACACCCCTGAAGAGTAGGCTCTCCCATACTTTATCAGCTGTTATCGACCATTCGAGAAGATTTTCGACTCGTCATGTACTTTGAGGGTTCCCTTGTTGTAAAGACATTTTACACTTGCAAACATCCATGACTTTTCCAGGATTCGAACCCGGGTCTATCGGTATGACAGTCAGCGTTACTAACTATCACTATACGGTTTCGACAACCCTATTCTAAAGTAACAAACTTTAAAAATTTCGCATTTTAAAGTAGTATAGAAGCATATGTATTTATGAGTTTATTTTTGTACTAGATCTTACCTAAGGCACAGATTCTTTGGAAGATAATGAAGATGAATCGAGTTTAATTGCATTCCGAATTGAGCTAATCAACTCACCATTTCAATTTCTGTTGCGTGGCTTTAAATAACACTTTGAAAATTCCACTAATAAATAATGCATAAAAAATTAGTTGATTAGTAGAATAGAAAGAATCCCAGATAACTGATTAAAACAGAATAAAAATCTTTATCCATTATTCGCATGTTAATTCTTTTTGCACAAGCTGTCCATTCATCGCCATTCTTACAATTTAGTGCTGCCTTGCGTGGTTAGATAAGCATTTTTGATGGATTAGGCTTGTTCAAAACATTTGCCGTTTTGAATTTAAACATAATTGTTTGTTCGACATATACAGTTCGACTTTTGCCTAAGAATGCTGTACTTTGTTAAACTGAAAACCATTATCTTCTCCAGAATTCAGCCTTCTCAGATCTCAGAACCTAGCCTATCTCAGAAATTAAAAATTTGTAAATCCTACATATTTGATTTTTCCTTCTCTCCCTTTTTCTTATTTCAATTTCTATTCGTGATTTCTCTATTACACTCAAGGCTAAAATAAACAGATGGTGATTATCATTATTGTCTAAAAAGCAAGGTACCTACAGTGGATAAGATTTATTTGTGCTACTCTAGCCTATATTCTACTGAATCAACATAAGTGTTTGTTAACGTAATACTACTTTCCTCAATGACGGGCTCAAGGAAAAAAAAATTAAGACGCAAAACATACTTTAGCAGAACGCTTATATCTCAATAATCCCCAAAATTTTAGTTTTCGTTTGTGGGTTATTTGGTAATCAAAAAAGACCATTACAAAACACACGCAAAAATTAAAAACTGGAAATGTTGAGCCACAGTGGATTCTCAAATTTAGGTAAAATATACAATATTTTGATGATTCTGTATGCTGTCTCAGAATATTTAACTTTTTATAACAGATTTTTAGTACTTTGTAAAATCAAATGATAAAGAACTAGATTAACATATGAATGAGTTTTACACCTTTACGTTATACCTTATTTTTTAAAGCATTTTAGTACTTTGTAGTTTATTTCATGGTTCCTTTTACCAAAATTGCAGTATAGTATACCTTCGAACATTTTCCCAGTATATTTAGCTAAAACAATTTCTGAGTATAAACAGAATAGTAAAATTTTAATCTATATAATTCAAGGGTCACCTATTCATGAATTTAATATTAATCATTTTTAAAGTTCTTAGCATGTAACAAAAAGTGTAATAAAATTAGCTATAATAAATCATATAAAATGTTGTTTTAGTTACTTTAAGTAACTCTATTCACTGAAATGTATCATAATTATGATAATAAAAATCAGGTTTCTATGGATATTTAATTAAACTAACATTAACATTACCTTTCATTAAAAATCCCATAATTAATATAAAAGTGAAGTAAAAAGTTAAAAATTATGTTAGTTAAAGTTAAAATTTACTCGATCAGATAGTGCAAATCATCCTAAATGATGGGATGCTTTAATTAAGGATTCATTCATAAACTTGTTACCTATGGAGCAACCATGAAAGCATCCATGCAGCCAGCGCGTTCACCAGAACTGGATCCCATACTGATGTAATGCTTAAGGGTCTAATTAATGCGTTAGGCTGCTGGGTTTAAAAAAAATTAGGCATTGCTACAAAGAAAGGTATAAGATATTTTAGTTTAACGGACAAATTTCTATGTTTTCTATATTTAACAACTTTTTCCTTTAGCCCTCGCCTAGACGCAAATGATATTGAAAATATATTAAAAAAGATAGAGGTTTTCAGAGATAGAGGTTTTAGCTATTATTAGCCATTTGCTAGACGATGTTAAGTCGCGCCATTAAAGTTGAACCAACTTTTAGATAGGCTAAATCTGTCTCTGGTTACGGTACTTTTATTGTAAATTCTATTTCTAAAAGCACTATTCTACTTTTTAAAAAGTACCATATTTTACTACACACAAGTTGAGTACGCACAAGAGGCATTTTCTGTTGAATTTCGGGTTAATAAAAATGTTTATTTAAAATCTTCACAGAAAGTTGTCTCATTTACTTAGGCAGAGCGATAACGCGCTTGTTAGTTTAAGGAACTTTCTGAAGGACTTTAAGTTAATATTACATAGATAAAGGAACTTGAAAACCATATAAAAGAAACCGAAAAAAATTTTTTTTTTATTTACGAAATAATATCTTATTATCCTATAACATTACGTTTAACGAATATATGTTAAGTTGTATAGTGAATTATGGCAATGGAAGTATTAAAAATGTAATATATTATAAAAGCTGAAATTAGTAATTTTCTACCATTACTAATTTCAACTTTTATAATTTATTAAAGATATAGAAATCTTTAATAAATTTTTTAGATTCAAATTTATTTATTAAAGATACAGAAATAGTCTTAAAGAAAAATGAAAAATACTGATTAAAAGCATAAATCTAATTTAAAGTGTTTTTACTACAATTAAAATGATAAAAAGTGTTTCAGCAGACTTTTTATGAAAAATATAATTTTCTACATCATTAATAAATATTTATGAAATAGTAAGACATTCATAAACTAAAGAACCTTAAATCAGGGCTCTATCAAATAATTCGAGTAAGGAATTTAGCTTACAAGGTCATATTGCCATTAAACAAAAATAAGTATGCATTTAAAATTAGGAAAAAGGTACAACATTGTTCTGTCTTTGAAATTTACAACTGAATATCTTGATACATAAGATATAATATAGAATTATTTAAAATTTATATCTTTATAGCTCTACGAATACATTTGGCATAATAAGCTATTCATTGGTTCTTACCTTTGTAAGTTCGTTTTCGATTTCCTTCGCTCGAATAGCCATAGGACCAAGCAGTGCAAAATCTATGCTTTTAATATTAGGATTTATATTATCCAAAGTAACAGTTTTCTCACTCATATTAGGTGTTATTCGAAAGTGAGTTGTAAAAGTGACAGAAGAATGCCTATGGGTACTAAATTTTGTAGAGTTTGACAAATCTTTTGAGACCTGCCCAATATAAGCATTCACACTGCGCCGCAAGAAGCACGAAATCATGCAACGTTTTTCAAACACAGCAAACCTTAGGAATTTCTCTAATTGTAAGATATGTGCTCTATCTATATTCAAATATTAAATCTAGAATAAAAAAATAAAAGTTACAGCAATCGTAAGTTTCCACAAAATATCCGTAAAAAGCGTTGATTAGAAAAGCTGAAGCAACTCTTTAGTACGCCTTTTTTTTCTTGCTATGAAATTCTGTGAAATTCTATGAAATCAAGAAATTTAAAAATTAATTTATTTCTATGTTACAAATTCACTATTTTTATCGGAAAGAATATCTAGCATGAAATAACTAAAATATTCTCAATTCGCGATTATTCGTTTTTTCTCCATAGACAAAAATAGGCATGAGACGGCTACACTTAAGTAGCAGCACTGCTGATATTTCACTGCAGCAAGTTTATTTATTGTGTTGAGAGATAACAGACGAATAACTCTTTTTATTAAGTCACTCTTCTGTGATTATGGCACTGATTAGATAAGCTTTCTGAAAAAATGTTAAAATGAAGAGTTGTATTTCGCCTGTTAGTCGTGTATCCTTGATCTACAGATAGTTCACCGTACTGTTTGAATTAGTAATATTATAAGTACTTTATTGAGAATAGTCGTAAATACATCAAGCGAAAATGTGATTTTTCACACAGCTAAATATCATCTTTGTATGAGATTTACTGATACTTAGACTAATAATTCGTTGTACTGTCTGACTTTGTAATATTTCAGGTATCGTAATGGATATGGCCATAATTACATCAAGCAAAGTTGATTTTGCAAACGGCTGTATACTATGCCTGACGGACAAATAAGTAACTGGAAATCTTTCTTTCTCAAAACTTCTCTGAAAGACGAAGCTAATAAAGGAATTCAGAAATAAATTAGAAAAAATTTTTGATTAGAGTAAAGGTCAATTTCTAGTTCGTTTTGGAAATGTTTGCATTCACAGGCAACTTTTGAAGAGAAATTCATTGATGAGCATATGCTAGTGTCTTATCGAAATCTAATTTCGATTCTAAGTACTAAAATCGCACTCTGCTAAAAGGGGACACAAACATTTATTACGCATAAAAATTTTAGCATTGATTCATAGTTCCAAAGTTAATGTTTCACGCTTCTGTTGACAACGATAGTTTTGCAAAATTCTCGTGATACACAGTCTAAGGATAGCGGATATTCCTTCGCCCTCTCATTTCATCATCTACGCGAATGCATGGACCTTATAAGAGATAGACTAACCCAGTGGGCGGGGCGCGCGTCACCGACATGTCAGCAAGAAAGAGTAGGGACGATCTGGGTTACTTTAAACACTGAAACCTATGGCGTTTGTATCACATAAGTCTTTTTAATTATTTTAATGTGATACGTTGTATAGTGATGAGACTATGAAAGCCACTTGTTTCCAAATAGGATTTAATATATCTCATTAAAGCACTTTTTACTGGCATGTCGCGCTTTTTTTTTCACGCGTAATTCTTGTACAAACATCTTTACTTTAGTAAAAGGGTAAAAACTCTAAGCACAAAATTTATGAACTTAATTTTGCGTAGAAATAACGTAAAATTAAATAAGATTGATAGTGCGTGGTGCTTTGAAATAAATAAGGTAAAATTAAGCAAGATCTGATAATTTTTTAAAAAATTTAATCACCATTTTCAGGCAGTGATTTTCAAAACTATAATAAAAATACAAAACAATCATTTATTTGATTATATAATCATTAACTTATTAACATTAAAGTAGAATATTTACGTTAGTAATTTATTATTTAACATTAAAGTAGAATATTTACGTTAGTAATTAAAATTCGGAGCTTAAAATTTTCTGAGTGTAATGAAGGAAAAAAAAAAAGGTAAAATAAAATCTAGAAGTACTCAGATTTTATATTACTCCCAAAAGGAACCTTTTTTTAACGTTTTGTGTGTTACCTATATTTATTGAATATCATGTTCTTCGCCCGTAAACCCCATACATTTGAAAACAGCACATCTTTAGAATTTCCGCACTGGAGATAAAACTGTTATTTTCCGTACAGTGCTCGCTCTGAACTCGTTGAGTTCGTTAAAGTTTTACAAAATATGAAATAGATTAAAACAAATTCAAATTCGGCCGTCCAGATGCCCATGTTCGGGTGGAAGATTACATTATTCAAAATTTGATGTTTCTAGATACTGTCGTTTTTGTCACAGTACGCGAAACATACATGTATTCATGCAAATTCTTCATTATTTAATTTCTTTAAATATAATACAGGGCGATAATATTTGGTAACAACAATTTCCAAGGAGACACGGACATTTATAGTAAAACAGCGCAAAATGCCGTTTCGAAACTAACAGCCTTTCTAGGCTACCGCCCCTTTGGGCTAATAAATTAAATTAACAGTAAATTTTAAAAAATCTTATGCAGAATTAAAAATATATTAAAAAATAATCACTATAAAATACAAGCAAAATTAATTATTACGGTTAAATAAAATTTTAATATTAGAATTAAATGTATAAAAATTTTTAAGGAGTCAAAGTGTTTATCACTATGATGTATTATGAAATATAATAGGAATAAAATTTCTTTATAGAAATTGTGCTATAATACTCATCTATAATTTTAAAAAAGCAGCACAATTTAGAATTTTAAACAAAACTTTCAAAAATTCGTTTTTAAATATTTTAGTATTTTTTACTTATTTACACCAATAAAAAGCATATAAAATGCAAGAGAAAATTGCTTGTTTGAAAGTTTCTATTAGTTCAGATTTAAAATATTATTTTCTAAAAGAAGTAGTTACAAATTTCCTTATAGCATAGGAAAAGCTAAAAAACATCCAGTCCTGAAAGCAAGCAATAGCTTTATAATTATTTGGAACGTTAATTATGCTTGATAAATATGCTAATTTTTTTTAAATAAATCTCAATTTCAAAAATAAAAATATGTAGAAATTCTAATTTGTGAAATGATGCGCTACAACCAGCTTTTTCTTGACAATTTTACACGCTGCAATAGGCAACCACTGTTAAATTTCTGCAAGTCGTCCCTACTTCTCCGGATGTGATCAAGGTGACAGCCGCCAACGCCTCAGACGAGGGAGAAAACCCGTTTGGGTTAGTCTATTTCTTATAAGGTCCATGAGCGAATGGGAATGAAATGCACCTGCACTGTTGCCAGTCGGCAAAGTGAAACTCTTAGAGCTCGCGACAAGCTTGAGAAAAAATATTAAAGCGACTGTTACGAGACTAGACCTGAATTTTGTTCATTCAGTCGGTATTCCATTAAAAGAAACGTAAAGAGAGATTGATAGTTAAGTAATACGGGAATTTCACCCAATTAATTCACTGTAAAAAGGGCAATCCACCTTAATGCAAAATCATGGTGCATTTTTTTTTAATTCTAAAACATAAAAACGATACAATGTTGCCAAACCGTAAAATTTAACCTTTAAAGAAATTACATTTATACAACCGTTGAGTTGCTCGCGACATCTCCTCCCACCTTTTGATTTATGGTGGGCGGAACATAATCAAAATACAATATACTTAATAATGACGCTAAACAATACTTAGTATAATCAAAAAAGGGAAAAAACTAATTAAAACGCGAAGGTTTTACAATTACTCTACCACATCTAGTTCTAATTATCTTATCAGGAGGTTTAAAGTTAATTTCTTTACTATCAGGAATGTTAAATTGGTTTTGTTTAGGTAAAAACAAGTTCTTGTCGTCCATCACTTCCAAAGGATACAATCATTGCACAGGACGGATCAATTCACCTGCAGCTGTTCTCACCTTTGCCACTCTAACATAATTATCTTGACTGTGGAAGAACTCAATAACTCGACCCAAGTGGCCAGTCCAATCTTTTTTTTTTCTTTGTCACTTCCTACAAGTACCTACATTTCCTAAATATATTTGTTCTTCGAGGTAGCTTTATTATCTCTGGATTGAATTAGGAGACTCAAATATTCGTCTCTAAATCTTTTTCTGAGATCTTGTCGTAATTTCTGTTGATATCTATATCTCTTAGTGATATTGACTTCATCTATATGGTCCAAGTCTGCAACTCCCCTTCGTTCTTATATCCCGAATGAACATTGAGGGTGTTAAAGGCATTAAAGGATCTTCATATCTTCAGATCATTAAAGGATCATCAGGATCTTCAGACAAATAATTTAACGGTCTTGCATTGATTACAGCTTCCGTATCGCAGAGAATGGTACACAGCTCTTCACATCTCAAGCAGGCTCTTTCTAATATTTTTCTCAAAATTTTCTTAACCATCTGAATAATAAACTCCCACCAACCCCCACCACGCAGCTGGGGGGGATTGAACTTCCATGTAATCTTCAAAATAAAACATTCTTGCATAATTTTGTTCCAATCGAGTGAAAAAAAGAGGTTATTAGTCCCGACAAAGTTCGTACCATTGTCACTATACATAGTTTTTGGTAGTCCACGTCTGGCTATGAACCTTCTGAAGTCCAACAAAATATCGTCGGTGGAAAGTCTTTGTATCAGTTCAAGATGTATGTCCCCATAAACAGTACAGGTGAATAAAAGTATCCAACTTTTTTTTTCCATCCTTTAGATAAAGAGGTCCAGATAAGTGTACTCCAGTTACTTCAAAAACCAGAGCGTCTCGGACACTACCTTCAGGCAGTGGAGCTGGAACTATTCCGAATCTTTTTGCATTATACCTTTTGCATCGAATGCATTTTGAGATTACCCTTTAGTCTTCAGTTTCACTTGTAACGTTTGAAGCAATATTTCATCAGAAGTGCATACGTTAGACGAACTAACATCAGACGACAATGTCTTCTCAAGTTACTGTATGTAACCTTTCATTTTATTTCCATCTTATTTCATCTTGAACGCTGTAATATATCTGTACATGTTTATATCTTTTATTTATGGTACCTAATTTATACTAAGGATCACGCGTACCTCAATGGCATGCTTCTTGTAAACTTCAACTATCACGATAACGTATATGTATAGATGTATTGGTATTTATATGTTATATACATATATTTTGATTGTACTCTTCTTCAAGTGCCTAGTATGCACATGTATATATTTCTTTGTACAGTGTTGTACTCTTCTTCAAGTGCCTTGTATACACATGCATATCTATTTTTTTGCACTTTATAAATGTCGTCTGCTCAGCCAGGGCTGCCCAGGGCTGCGGCCTGGTAGCTAGTGGTTGACTCCCGCCGAGTTGGTAACCAATTATACATGGATATATCTATACCTGGGTCGGAAGCCAACTCAGCGGTTTACCTTCCCTAACCACTACCGTCTCGGAGGCTCATCTCTTATTAGTTACCTTTGGAATCAGTGATGAGTACATAACAGTATGAGTAAAAATCAATGAGTTTGGTTCATATAT